GGATTGTTTTCGCGTTTGAGGGGGACGTAAGGGGTTCAGGGTTTCGGGTTTCGGGTTTAGGGTACTTATTAACCAATTCTAACTGTTCTTATATCTGTACTTACAACCATATTAAGGCACGTAAGGGGCTTCTAAGTGGGTTATAAGTACAGTTAGAATTTGTTAATATAAGGCCTCAACCCTAAACCCCACTTCTATTTTTTCCTAAGTACTATGAACTCCAAGTAGGAGAGCATGGTGATCGCGTGTAAAGCATCTGAGCTCATTCGCGGTCCAGGCTAGCCCTTTAGCCCTCAGCCCAAAACCCTTATCATCCCTAAACCCTTAAACCCTAAACCCTAGCCCTAAACCCTAAGCCCTAAACCCTAAGCCCTAAACCCTAAACCCTAAGCCCTAAGCCCTAAGCCCTAAACCCTGAACCCCTAACCCTAAACCCTTAAGCTCGAAAACCGCAGGAGCTCCCCAGCAGTGGCTGAGAAGCTCCAGGGAGAGCTGCAGGCGGCTACGTGCCGTTTTTTGGTTGCTCGGTAAAGGGGTTGGTTTAGGGTTTAGGGTTTAGGGTTTAGGGTTTAGGGTTTAGGGTTTAGGGTTTAGGGTTTGGGGTTTAGGGTTTAGGGTTCAGGGTTTAGGGTGAGCCCTAAGCCTAAACCCCAAGTTACTCAACCCTCAAACCTACTTGAACCAAACGCCAAACAACAACCCCCTAATCCCTGAACCCTATAAACCCTCATCCCTAAACGACTTTCTGGGGCATTTAGGTAGGGTTGGGAGAGGCCTGATGGAGTTCAGTGGTTTAGGATCTAAGGTTTTCTTTTTTGGTGGAGGCGGGTTGAGGAATCAGGGCTTTGAGTCGTTTTGCGGTGTTAGGGCTTGGGGGGTTTCAGGGGGTCGGTTGTTAGGGGAGTTTAGGGTTTTGCCCTAATCCCTAAACCCGATACCAGGTTTTGTTTTTGTGGGTTTAGGGCTTTTTTGCGGCTTGAAATCTTGAAAGTCTCGGGTTTTGGTGATTCCTGCCTTGTTAGGCTCCTTATGCGTTTTAGAGCTGCTAATGATGGGCGTAGGGCTCTGGGTGCTAGACTCGGGTTGGTCATGTTTCGGTGAGGATTCTAAACCCTAAACCCTAAGGTCATTTAGGGTTTAGGGTGTAGGGTTTAGGGTTTAGGGTTGAGGGTTTAGGGTTTAGGGGTAGAGGGATTGGTCTACGTACACGCGCCGACTGCGGATTGCTCCCCCCCCCCCCATTCTCGCAACGGCGGGGAAAATGCTCGGACAGCAGCCATCTGCCTGGCGGCTCCGAGACCTGTTCACTCAAAAGGGAACCCTTCTTAATCCTCTTCTGGCTCTCTTAAACAGGGGCCTTATTCAGAGGGTCTATGTCCCCAAGGGTCCCCTTAATCCCATAACCTACTGTTGCTCAAGTACGGCTTCTCCTGCAGTACACGGCTTCTCCGATAATTCAGCGATTGCGGGCGTAGGATTTAGAATTTAGGGTTAGGGCCTACGTTGACCGTAAGCAAAGGCACCAGCCTACGCCTCATCACCAAAGGCAATGATGCAAAACAAGCCCTCACCACCATGGCACAAGTAATTGCCAACAAATTTGATGAAGTGATGAAGTGGGATAAGCTTATAAGCCTTGTTCACCACTGTCAGGGCATACAGTTATCGGTGACTTTATGAAATTTTGCGAGTAAGATCCCCCCACCGATGTTGGGCTTTAAAAAACATTTGCTTTAGCAGAAGCTACAGTCGCCGGTTATGGGTGGACGGATATGAGCAAAGTTGCGCTGGGTTTAGGGTTTAGGGTTTAGGGCTTAGGGCTCCAGGTGTACTTGAAGCAGCGCCACGCCAGCCTCAAGGCGAAGGCCAGGATGTGGGAGCTGATGAACTCTAAACCCCCCCCCCCCCCCCCCCCAAACCCTAAACGCCCTAAACGCCCTAAACACCCTAAACACCCTAAACGCCCTAAACTCCCTAAACCCTAAACCCTCAAGGCCAGGATAAATAGAAATTGTACTGTATGCCCTTCACTACGAGCAGCTCGTGCAATAATCCATCCTTCACAGTGCAAGAAAATCAGACAGAAGCATGGCTTTCGGGGCACCAAAAAAAGATGCTGAACAGGGAAAGAAAGCCACGAAAGATGCTGCCGGCGCCCCTGTAGGCCCCCCAAAACCCCCCCCCCCCCCCCCCCCCGCCCCAAATTTCGGCAATAGAGCCATCACAAAAGGAAATTCCATTCAAAAAGCAAAAAACAAAAACCCCCCTAAAACCCGACAAAACTCCGAGCAGAAACCCTATACACTTTCTAGAACCCTAATCCGGAACCCTAAACCCTCAAAGCAGGAACCCTATACACTTTCTATAACCCTAATCCGGAACCCTAAACCCTAAACCCTAAACCCTAAACCCTAAACCCTAAACCCTAAACCCTCAAAGCCAAACCCTTAACGGTCGTCTCCGGATCCCCGCGTCATCTCTTGAAGGCTGTGGAGCCCAG